TTCCTTCCCATGTCAAAGGAATACATGGATAATGTGAAGAAGTTGTACCTAGCCAGTGTGGAATCTGCTGATTTTGCGAATGCTTCAGAAGAAAGTCGACAGATGATTAATTCCTGGGTGGAAAGACAAACTAATGGTATGTTATGAAAGGTTATGAAAGGGTCACTCACTAAAAAACACTTGAGTCCCCATGATGTGTGACCCCCCGTGCTGGACACTACATGCAGTGCCAGGAGAGGGGTGAGATGAGACTTCAGAGGATGGAGGAGGACATGCAGGTGGTGGGATGGTCCCAGTAAATGTGGAGAGAAACAAGGGGACCCAGGAGGGATCCCAGCACCAGCTCCTGGAAACACAGCTCGAGTCTGGGGGTGAAGTGTCTTTGTGAATCCCAAGTCTCAGCTCAAGCTTCACTTGATTTCACACTTTTTTCTTTAAGTTAGAGACAATATTAAAAGGACTCCCTTATCCTTTGTTAATTGGGAAACAAGCAGCTCTCCTCTAAACCGTCCTTCTTGTCACTTGCCGCAGAGCTGCATGGCCCTTTGTCCATGCCCACATCCTGCAGGGATGCTCACAGCCATCTCCCCAACCACGGCAAATGGCTGGACAAAGTCTCCATCCTCTGAACCACGTCCTACCTCCATCCCAATTATGGATCAAACCTACAGCAATTCAAAGTGGAGAATGAAGAGGAGGACACCCCGGGGAATGGTGTTAGGGTCCATGTCATTCATCCTGAAGAGCACTGAGGCCTATTTCCTCTGAGTAGTGAGTCAAAAGTGAAAAGATAGGAAGAGAGAGAGGAAGGAAGTAAGAGTTATTAAGAAAGGAAAACTAGAACAAAGTCGGATGAAACAAGAGAGGAAAGCAGGTGTTGAGGGCACCGGGAGCGAAGGATACAGCAATACAGGGACAAAAGTGACCCCTGGAAATATCAGCTGAAATCACTCCATCCGTATTCAGTTTAAGATGACGGATGTCACCACAGACAGAGACTGAGCACCTTCCCAGTCACAAAAAGGGGTCTCCATGAGGGTACCTTCATCAGGCTGGTGACTCAAGGAAATGGCACCTTATAAACTTCTGGGCATGGTGTCCCTAATATGGTGACTTGTGTGAATGTTTATTGATTAGTTGTAACTTTCAAAGCATCTTCAAGAAAATCCACTTGTGCCTTCAGGAAGACCTTCCATTTTCTTTCCTTGCAGAAAAAATCAAGGATCTATTTCCCAACGGTTCTATTGACAGCTCCACCATTCTGGTGCTGGTGAACGCCATCTATTTCAAAGGGCAGTGGCACCGGAAATTTAAGGAAGAAAACACTGTCGAGGAAAAATTTTGGCTGAGCAAGGTATTGTGTATGCTTTTTTTAAAAAATTGTTTTCTTTTTCTATTTTTTTTAATGAGGAGAGGTAATTAGATGTATTTATTTATTCTTGGAGGAGGTACTGAGGATTGAATCCAGAACCTCATGCATGCTAAGCATGGGCTCTACCACTTGAGCTATACCCTCCCCTTATGATTTACTTTCGTAACGTAATACAGCTCTAACTGAAATGTGAAATTTACATATGTAATTATTAATGTACAACTGCACGTAGAAAATCAATTTGTCAAGGCTCTCTTTCCTTACATAATTTTTTTCTTTGTTTAGCTGGGAATCCTTATAGAAACTCTTGTCTCTAACTCACAGATTTCCCAGATCATCCCTTAGAAGGAGAACGGGTTTGGTATCTCAATAATATTATACCTTTACTGACTTGTGTTCACTTGGCATTTGTTTCCACATTAATTTCTTGCAGGACAGAAGCAAATCTGTGCAGATGATGAAAGAAACCAACGACTTCAATTTCGCCTCCCTGGAGGACATGCAAGTCAAGATCCTGGAAATACCGTACAAAGGCAGGGAGCTAAGCATGATGCTGCTGCTGCCCAATGCAGTAGATGGACTGCAGAAGGTAAAGCCGTGCACCTCCAAGGCTTCCTACTGTTGCTTCGATTCCTAGCAATGCAAACAAAATAGGCTGTTCATACATCAGTGGTGCTGGCTGGCAGAGATCCAGCACAGAACAAACAAATAAAATAAATTCCTATGGGTCACAGTTTGATAGGAAGAATACATAGAAATTCTGTCCATCACAGGTCACATTAATATTCTGATGAAACTATGGAATGCC